TCATGCAGACCATAACATAAGCCATAAACAGAATACGACACTATTTCGTAAGCTTAATTGAGAGAAAACTCAAAAAATTCATTTATTTTTACAAATAGGTTTTTAAAAAGCACTTTTACACGTCCCAATATTAACCCTACCACTGCTTCGAGACAATAAATGGGCCAGTGCTGAAAAGAAGCAGCGCAAGAAACTCAGTCACTATAAGAACTAAGAAGCAGCACAAGAAACTCAGTCACTACTGGAAAGAAAGTAACATAAGTATTTATCACAATGGATGCGTTCACTTTAACCTGACCGCAGACCGCAGAAAGTATCCAGTGTGGCAAAATATTTAAAGGACAATATCTGCTTAATGCAGCTTACATACCAGAGCTGCCGACTCGCCGACACAGTCATCGACTTTTAACATGTTGTCAAAACTCATGGGAGTACAAGAATCCACTTTTATCTTTTGAAATAAAGCCGCCGACAGCCTGGCGGCTTGGCGTCGGCGCTTGGTGTGTAGAGTTCATAAGAATACAGAATTCATAGAAGTAAACTGTCAATCAAGTAAGAACTTTTAGGCCAGGTTGCACCATCTTACTTTAATTTTGACAAACGTCAAAAATCTGTCAAACTCCATACAAAAACAACCGGATAATGTATTGTTACAGTTAAAATAAGGTGGTGCAACTAATGTAAGGATATCGATAATGAAATAGTTCAACATTTTGTGCAATTTGCTCAACACAAACTGGAGTACCAACACCTACCCCAGTATTTTTAATGGTTTAACCCAAACCATTAACCCTAATTATTGCAAGCCTTAATTAAATGTAGCGCCATTACGCTGGCCTCTTCCTGTCAAACTTTGCCCATTGATTTTGCAAAAGGATATTACATTAACGCGCAGTTAGCTATTTACAAGTAGATGTAATTCGTGAAATGGTATCGACACCAATGCTCAAAACACTATTTACATATCTCTGTAGGGATGTGCTTAGTATATCCGATTTTTTATCGATTTATTAATTGGAGCGATTTTTTTTTCTTAATTTTTTATGGCTGACCTGAAGAGTGCCTTAAAATTAAAACAATAAAGATTAAAAATATCGATGTCATTTATTTTTACCGTGTAAAAGTAATATTTTATGGCTGTTTCAGAGACTCTTTGTTATTGTAATAAGCCTTTAACATAATCATCATCTCAGCCATAGGACGTCCACTGCTGAACATAGGCTTCCCCAAATGCTTTCCATATTGCCCAGTTGGTAGCGGCCTGCGTCTAGCGCCTTCCTGCTACCTTTATGATGTCGTCGGTCCACCTTGTGGGTAGACGTCACACGCTGCGTTTTCCGGTACGCGTAATAACATAATACAGTTTTTTTTTTATTAGGACAACCAACTAGACAAACATGCATACAAGAAAATGAATTATTATAACCAAAAATGTTAAAAACTAAATGGTGTCTTAATTAGAGGCTGCCACGGCATGCATCGTGAACAGTTTAATTACAAAATTAAAAACTAACGAACGAAAAGCACTTACGACAAATATATTTATTTGCTGCCGCTGCAAATAAAATTTATTAATTTTGTAGTTAATTTATAATTATTGTAGTAAAACAAGCATCAACTAGTTTTTCGAAACCTTACCAGTTGCAAATGACATGCGTCCAGCACAGAACGCACAAGGCAATCAGTGCAATTATTTTTATTGGTTCTAATTGCGCGTTTGGCTCACAAAAGGGCCAATTTCCTCGGGGTTAGTCTTAACTCTATTGGCTTGTCCTTTTATGGACGTAAGACCTTTTTAACCGGCTTCAAAAAAGGAGGAGGTTCTATGTTTGACTGTATGTATCTTTTTTTGCTAACTAATATACAATTAATATAGTACCGTACCTAGTGAATGAAGAGAGAGTCATAATTGGTAAGACTTTAAAGGCATAATGGTAGTTTTAATCAGTAGTGAACTCTTAAATAAAAATAGAGCACTAAAATACGTGATATTTAGTGAAAAGTTTAACGGGCCACTTGTATTCAGCTAATTTGGAAGTCAGTACGAAGTTCAGCAGTGAGCGGCTTTTGATTAAAATTATGATGATAATGATGAATAGATCTACGATGGATCGCGTAGCCGCACTCTTGCTTACCTAAGCACTTGCAATCTTGTAATTTAGAGTTTTATTATTTGAAAATCAACAGGCTAAGTCCAGATATTCAAAATTATAGTGTAATCTAAAGTGTTAGTTCGACAATCGAGCTGTTATGGCCAGAACGTGCTGAAGGTTCGATTGATAGAGTAGATTATCGTGACTGCATAGGTATAGAGGCGTGGTCTATAATGCTATAAGGGCGGGCAGTAGACAATGCAATTACATAATAACTGCAAGGAAAACGGCCAATCTCTTTTATGTTACTGTAAACACTTGACATTTGAGAATTTCCTAGCAGGTTTGAGTATCGACTGACAGATAACGATAACGTCATTGTTGTAAGAGCGCTACGTTGAAAAGGAATTTAGCTGTGGCCTTGACCTTACACTTTATATCAGTTATGTAAATTTAAATAAAAGTGTTAATATATAAATTTTTTAAACTGCACTGCTTGGGCCACCAAGATACAGGCTATGCCTAGTTTGGGGCCCACTGTTATTTAAATAAATTAATATATTTTAATTTTTTGTCATGTCATACTAAATGTAAAAGGTTGGGGATGATAATTAAAAACACTTAAATAGGCCAGCCAGGCCTAATGGATAAATTCCATCGAATACAAACTCAGCTGCAAAAGTGGATTCAGATCCCGCTAAGGGCAAATATTCAAAATTCAAATACGATGAGTAATAAATTCCACCTACATATTAGAGACTAATATCCAAAATATACATATATAGTACGTAGGTAATGTTTGTAGGTATTAGGTACTCGTATTTTCATACTGGAATCAGCTGGAATCATCATCTCATATCTAATCACTATAGCAGCTCTTGTTGCTATTGAAAACCTATTATTGACGTAGGTAATAGATTTGACGTTTGAGTAGCATTGTCAAAACAACTTGAAATTATTATCTTGTTGCCCTTTTATTTTATCAGCAAATATCATAGAAAATACTTTTTTTTATACTTATATCATTTCATAACAGAACCCCTGTGGCTCTAACCGAATTTAGCTTATACTAAAAGGATGGTATTTAAGCGATCGACTATAAATTCAAATTTAGGGTATCTAAAATACTGATTATAGTGCACTGAAATACCAAATGAGCGAAAGACTGAGAGCGGATAGAAATATTGAAAACGGTGACTTGAAAATATAAATTTGAGTTACGGGTTAATCAGATCGATCAGTATAATCTTAGGCAACAATAATTATGATATTAGAGTAATAATTTTGCAGCTCACACAATATTTAACATCTAGTAAATATTTTATTGCAAAAGTGCTGCGTTACTCTAATCGAAGTGTTTCAAATATTATGTTGAGCAATGAACTAAAGTTGCCACTTGATTTTAGCTATGTTGTGGCACGGTAATACTATCTATACAGTATTCCAACTCGGCCATATTTTTGAAATAAATGTCAACAGTCGCGCGGTACGTCACTGTATGACAACATGCGATAGGGCTGCCCACCTACAGTTCCCAGTTTAATTACATCTGCCTACTTAGAATTTCTATACAGGGTGTTAGGTAAATGGGTATATGAGCCGACACTAGCCCATGTACATGGGCATATAAATGGTATGGTGAAGTCAAAAATTTGATATCATCATTTTAATTTTTTAAATTTTCATACAAAATAAATTTTATAAAATCCGATTTGTATGAAAATTAAAATAATTAAAACGAAGATATCAATTTTCTGACTTCACCATACCATTTATATGCGCATGTTAGCATGGGCTAGTGTCGGCTCATATACCCATTTACCTAACACCCTGTATAGTTTTGTGATTGTATTTTTTTATTTAGTTAGACAAACAAAATACTTTGTAAATGGAATAGGTTAAAAATGTGTGTTGTTTTGTGATTAACTAGTAGATTTAATTTAGTAAAATCTACTTAAATAATTTTGAAACTTTAATAATCATAATGATCTGTTACGTTAATTTCGGGCGGGCGAAGTCGTAGGCAAAAGCTGGTTTAATACAATATAATTTTCATTTCAAATCAAACTGACTGAAAATGTCAATTTGACTAATTTTTGACCAATTTGACCGTAAATGACGGTCAGTCAAATTCAATCAGTTTTGTCATTTTTAACACTTGGCCACCGACGTCCATTCGGCACATTCGCATTCGCGACACCCCCGACTTTTGCATACCGAGCGCATACCGAGATTTGAATTTCGAAAGAAAGTTCTCGTTTCGTCTGTTTATATGAAGTTACAATACTGTATGATATTATTACCGTGGTTGTGGGCTATGGCGGTTTATTTGGTTTTCCTGCGAATCACCTCACTATTTCTGATTCGATCTCGCAGGGAATCTCCGAGTATAGCACATTCCATCGCCTTTTGGGTGACCTTGAGTCTTAATAAGAGGCCCATAATAAAGTTACTAAAAGCTTAAATAATTGTTGTGGGTTGGGGTCTGTACGTTTCTTTTTAATAACTAATTGAATTTTATTTGCCAAAAAAGCTGTTAAAATCAGAAGTAGCTAATGTAGCTATGCTCCCGCATTGCACAGCAGCGTTGTCGCTTTGTAGCTCCTACCCCAGTATGCTATTTTCAAGAGAATATTAAGCCAAAATAGAAAAAATATTACAACAATTGTTTTTATCGATATTATTAATGCAGTACACTTTAAACATCCCAAAATTCTATTTTATGAAGTACCTACTTCATATATTAACTCAAACCGGTTTAATAATCACCCAATTAATGTTTATGTCGTTTACTGAGTATTTCTTTCGCCCAATTTTGTATTTAATTCGGAGCCATAGAATTTTAGGTGCCAGTTTAGATTACCTGTTTACCACTGTTAGTAGCTTAGGTATTTGACGTATTTTTAGTATTCATTCATTTCAGTTCATTTTTCGCAAATATAATTTAGCACCGCTCCACTCCCCATACTAAAATCGTTTTATCAAGTGATATAAGTACGATAAAAATTTAAAAGTACTTATGATATTCATCTTCGGAATTATCTTTCCTCTAAATGAGATATGATAAAAATATTGCTAAGTTATATAACCGAATGATTGCTCTTACTGTCATAACAAAAGTGATCGTGCAACAAAAATGTTTCTCAAAAGGATAGTTCTGTGAGTAGCATAGTTTAAACAATGTTGGGTTGTACCATCTTACTTTAACTATAACTAATGTCTAAAATCTGTCAAACTCTTTACTTTTCTTCTTCTTCTTCTTTTTTTCAAACTTTTGTGTTTTGTATTACATCGTTAAAGTTAGGTACCTAGTGCAATTCAGCTTTAGTTTTCTTGAAGTTTTGTCAAAATCCGTTATATCTAATATGTGAGCCATACATATCGATCTTCACTCAGTCCAGAAAATATTTTACAGATCCTTGTTTTGTTTCCACGTGGTGTTGGGAAAAACACCTGAAATTCGAGAAGATGTAAGGAAATTCCCTGACGGTTTCCTGTTTGGTGTTGCGTCCGCTTCGTACCAGGTGGAAGGGGCTTGGGATGAAGATGGTGAGTATGATTTGGAGGCTCAAGAAACATTTAAGTACCTATTCTTTGTACTCCCTGCAGTCAACTCTGCATACAAAAGAATCTTTTGAAAATTATTTTTTTATTTTGTTAATTGTCTTTATATTTTCTTCATAGGTAAATCGGAGAGTATCTGGGATCATGACACTCACAAGATACCCAGCCCCATCGATGATATGTCTACAGGAGACATCGCGGACGACTCATATCATTTATACAAACGTGACGTAGAGATGGTCAGAGAAATGGGCGTTGACTTTTACAGAATTTCCCTGTCCTGGACCAGGATCATGCCTACTAGTTTCCCAGACAAAATCAACCAAGCAGGAGTTGACTACTACAACAATTTGATTAATGAACTACTGAAACACAACATTAAACCAATGATTACACTCTTCCACTGGGACATGCCCCAAAAGCTTCAAGAGATGGGGGGATGGACAAATCCCAATATTGTTGACTGGTACGGCGACTACGTACGGACTGCCTACGAACTGTTCGGAGACAGGGTTAAATATTGGATCACCATCAACGAGCCCACTCAAATTTGCCTTTATGGCTATGGATTAAATTTGTTAGCGCCTAGGCTTAATATTCCTGGTGTGGCTGATTATTTGTGCTCTAAAAATTTACTATTAGCTCACGCACGGGCCTACCATATCTATGATGAAGAATTTAGAGCGTCTCAGGGAGGCAATATATCCATTACACTCAGCGCTCAGTGGTATGAACCTGAGTCTGAATTGTATGCCACTGCTTCAAGAGAATATCTGCAATTTGACGTAAGTGCCTACCTCAGTAATTAATGAATAATGACTTACCGCCCTAACTTATGTTGATTTTTATTTTCTTTTTGAATTTTTAGTCAGGAGTCTATGCTCATCCTATCTTCTCAAAGGAGGGGGATTGGCCTTCAATTGTAAAGGAGAAAGTAGCTCGCAAAAGTGCAGAACAAGGATTTGCCAGATCCCGACTTCCTGACTTTACTCCTGAAGAAATAGAATACGTTCGTGGAACGTCAGATTTCTTCGGACTGAATCATTACTCCAGTTACTTCGTGAATATGGATGAGGACACCATCAATAGCTATGCAGTTCCTTCCCGGGCCGATGATATTGGTGTCAATGTATTCAAACTAAACGAATGGGTTTTATCCGAATTTAGTTCAACTGACGTAAGTTGATTTCTTGTTTTAATTTTGTCATTATGTTTAATGATATTTGTCATCGATATCGCATCCTTTGTAATTATGCATACCATGTGGATTGGACCTGTTCTCTGCGCAATGATTACATTTCTTTCTTTTTTTGCAGTATGTGCCTTGGGGATTCTACAAACTACTAAACTACTTTAGAGAAGAATATGACAACCCCCCTATATTTATAACTGAAAATGGTTTCGGAACTTACTATACTGGGTTGGACGACGACGAACGAGTAACATACTATAGGGGCTACATTGGCGCCGTGCTGGATGCCATTGATGATGGCACTAATATCATTGGGTATACCGCATGGTGTCTCATGGATAACTTCGAATGGACTAAGGGATACACGTGAGTTCTCATTTGAAATAATTCATATGTAATGTTAATAGATAAGAACTACAGCTAGCCTAGGACTCAAAAATAACGGACAGTCTAGGAGTTCTTTAGTTAAAAGCTAGCCGCTTGAAAAACTGGTCTGAAGACTCAATAAGCAGCTAAAAGTTATAGCGATAATCTACCTTAAGTACCTATAAATAACGTCCTTATTCTTCCAGGGTCCGATACGGCATCTACCACGTGGACTTCGAAAGCCCGAACCGCACGCGAACCCCGCGCAAGTCCGCCTTCGTGTATAAGGAGATTGTGCGCACGCGCTCGCTCGACATCGGCTTCGAACCCGACACCTCTGTGATGACTATTGACGAAGGACACTGATGACAAATAAACTACGTTATTATTATATACTTTTACTTTATTTAGAAACTTGAGGGACAGTTAATCATCGTGGTATTAGCATGATTCCTTCAGTCCTGTTAGGTCTCTGTGGTTGTGGGTTAGATGTTTGGGGTTAAATGTTAATGTGATGGCTCCTCGATCTATCACCTAATTAAAAATATTAAGAGATTAAACAAATAAGCTGTACTAACATAGTCTCTAAGATCTGTTACTAACCAAAATATGGACTGCATTGTCTGACAATAAATTATTTTTAATTTTATTTTTTTACTTTATTAATTTATCTCAAGCTAATTTTCAAACCTGAAAAATTCGACAGCCTCGGCGGCAACTGAACTCACAACTTTTCGCTTGCCGGGTACCGTCGCTGCGAGCGTAGACATTGAGCTCGTCGAAATTTTCAAATGTATTTTCGCCTTTAACAAGTATCATTTAATTAATACAGGGTAGGTAGTATCTACCAATTAGATAACTACTAAAACCCTTTCTTTAGTTCGACAATACCTACGCAATTACTAATCCGTGTCACGGAACCGGATACTTTAGATGATTGGTCGTTCTGATCAAAACTTGGACATGCGTCGACATGGCTTGCCGTAAGTGTAATACTTTAGTTGTTAACTAATTGCTACGTCATAATATGATCGATATCACTGATTAAATAATATGTTACAGCTCAGTCGGAAGAAAACGCACGCAGGGTTTTTCGTAAATTATAGCATTGTTACCAATTCATGGTCAAATATAAAACAATAAATTTGTTTTAACGCTATTATCCAATATCAATGACATGTCCTACGTACATGCAAATGAGTTTTAGATTGATTTATTGGATTAATCTAAGTGTTACATTTTCAATGACCTCCGTTAGCTAGTTTATGTTTTAGGCAGTAATTTAAAAAAAGGTTTTGAAAATACAATTATGTTTTTGTAGGAAAATGCCTTACGCATAACCGTCGCTTTAGGCAAACTGACTAGTTGAGAATCGTGTGAGCGGACTCACTCGAATCGTCAAAACCTATAATAAACCTACTGAAACCTTAGCACAATAACGACCGAAAAGGGGATCCCTAGTAAACTATATCTTAACAAATAAATTCCGCACCAACCTAAAAACCTACGGAAAGCGACTCTGTAAATTGGAGTTTGTTCTCTAGTATTGAAAAATGCCAATATAAAGTGGGCTACATCACTCACATCCAACCACACGTTTTAGAGTCAAATTGCTCCTATTACAATTTATAAGAGATCCAAGCAACCGGAAAATTGCAATGGCAAGTAGCAGGACGTAGAACGTTACAAACCTTAAAGCTCAGTAACAGTGCAGCAGCCATTTCACTCAAAGTGTGACAGATTTGACAGGTCAGTCATGCACGTGTCAAGCGATAGTGTTTACCATGCGTTGTTACACTCCACTAGAGCATGTGATACGTAACATTGCATTAAGCACCACGAGCTGTCAGCTTATCTACACTTTTTTTTGTTGAGCGGTTGTTCTAGTTCAATGGAATCCGATCACTGCGACCGATTTGGATATTTTGTAATCTTAGGCTTAAAAATTATATTAACTTGATGAATGATTTTGATGAATTACATTATGTAATTGTTCGTTATACAAAATTAAATTGCATGCCAAAGCTGAAGTTCTGGCAATCGTAATGATCATCATTCATCATTCCCACAACTTACCTTACAAGAGAATGAGGGCTTTTCGTACACAAGATTGCATTGGCATGTACTTCTTCTTCTTATTCGTTACGCTCTTGGCAGAGCGGTCGTGGTCACATTGAGGCGTTGTTCACATCGGCTGTAGAGGCGGATACAACTCTCCGGACGATCTCCCTCCATCTCTCTCTATTGGCAGACTGTCTGGTGCAGTTGACATGTACAGTCAGCTGCAAATAGTTCACTACGACACCAAAATGTACGACGCGTCTTTGTGACATTTGAAGTAAGGTTATGTTGTCAACTTTTTGGCCACTTTGGGTGTCACGAACTATTTGACGATGACTGTACTGAGAAGCTATTGACACCTACTACTCCACTAAATCCTGTTATTTAATTACATACAGTCCGCTTCCATAAATTAATTGTGTTATTTCCAGTTCAGGGGAAATCCTGAATGGAAAACAAAGAATGTGTAATCGTACGTACTCGTACAAACAAACCCGCATGTCGCCGGATTTTGTATAAAAATAGTCGGCGTATGACGGATACTTCGACCTCTGAAGGCCTTGGTGTGAACAAGAATGTGAATTACGACTTTTGTGTGGACTTTCATATCCTGACACCACTTTCATGAAATGCGTAAAATATTTTTTATTTTGTATCTTAATTCGACTAAGATAGAGTTAGTTATAATAACTACTTTAGTAATAGGGGAGAGTTCGGTATATTGTACCGCCGGGTAAATTGTACCACCCCCATATTTCGTAAAGTATTTATTGAATGTCTGTAATTGCAACACTCAGCGATACACAACTAAAATCAATTAATATCGGCCATGTGGTTTTTGCCGTGACAACAAATACGTGTGTTTTATTTTGAAACGTATTTTTTCATTGTTTTCAAGTAACTTTTGACAATACATGTTTAGNTTTTTTTTAGTAAATCATATTTTGAAGTTATAATAGCGTAGTTATGTTTGACTAACAATAAATGAAAGCAAAAGACTGGCAAAGTAGATTAGGTACAAGTGTGCGTTACGATAATTGGAATTACAAAACTTGTACTCAAAATCGTGATAACGTGTAAAACAATATCGATTGTCTATGTTATCAACTACTGTTCCTTTTATTTATCTATTTATTTATTTGAACACCAACAAGGTTACATTGAGGCTTCACAAAAGTAACTATAAAAAAATGACACTTTTTCGTTTCCTAATTTGTTAAGAATGTATCGTATAATATTTTGCCATAGTTTTTTTATAGGCTTGAAATTTATTGAAATCTAATTTAGTAACCCTGTGGTACAAATTATCGAACCGGTTGGCTAAATTGGACCGAAGCTCTGAACTCGTACTTCGTTGATTTGTGCTAAATATACAACAATCATGTTAATTAATATTTATGAAATAGTAAGTTGAATAATGTATCTTTTATTATATACCATGGACATTAGCAAAAACAAAAGAAAACTATGTGTAAAATGGGATTGAAAAAAACTGGTCCAAATTAGCGGACTCTCCCTTAATTAGTAGCAAAGGAAGCTTAAATTGTTAAGAATGTCTATTACCAGTTTTCTTACAGATAAAACTTATGCCCGTTTTCACCATCAATTACCATAGGGGTCACTTAAAAACATTTGATTGATGGTGAAAACGGGCATTGGTTTCTTAGTGACTCTTTACCCGACTGCGCGAGGTGGGTTACTTGCCTAGCTATTCAGTTACTTCTTCCAACGAGTCGTTTATTAGTACCTAATTGTTCTTACTGTCTTTAGTTTCAACGTCAGCTATTTCTATATAAATCTGTCATGATTAGTCGCTAACTCATGGACTTATAGTAATTTAACAAATAATTGTATAATTTAAAATTTCACGCCACTTCAAAAAGATAAGGTGCATAGCTTACCTACTATGAACATTGTACAAAATACTTAATGAATTCAACGTGGGTACGCTTATTAGCAAATATCCGGGTGACCTCAAGTCACTCAAGTCGGCCTTCCACGCTGGACACTTTCTACCAGTCAACAAAATGTAGTGTACTTACTACAATAAATTACTTACTGTTAGATACATTATTTTTGTTTGAATTTAATTTAAATCTGATATACTTAGAAAATTATTATTATGAATAACGAGATTTTGCCCGCGATTTCGAGTCAAAAATTACTTTAATGGGTTTATTTGGTTTTGAACTTATTAATTTTGTTATGTTGTAAGCTTTTATCGCGCTATTTTATGAATTTTATTCGATAAGCCCATACATTTATCGTCTAAATTGATCGTTAAGATTTTATTACGGCGCGCATCCTAGCCTAGCAGGCCGCCGTCCTACCTTCGTACTCCTAGCATTTCAGCATTAAAGCATCTGTAAAGTCAATTCTTATATATATATTTTATTTTATTTATTATTGAGTACCAACCAAACTTATTTCTTTCTGCCAATGTAGTGTGAAAAATATTGATATAATGTTATCAATAGAACCTGATAGAACATGGGTGTTTCAGTTCTATTGATTTTTCATGGATTCAGTGGAGTTATGGCACGTAAGCAAGTTTCAAGACACCCACCGGGTTGTCCAATGTTCAACAACCCACTCGACACTCGATGCCCGCTCAATTTCGAAGTGTTCTTATTACTATTAGTATACAATGTTATGAAATATAACACATTCGTGACGGAAATGTGTCGTTTGCGTCAGATTAGGTCAACCTGCGGAAAATGTAACATTCAACACTTAGTTTTGTAATCAGATGTAATTTTATGTGATTTAAATAACTATAGGCGGTAGTGATATATTTCTCAGTAATCATGGTGTAAGAAATCGCAATACATGCAATTACTGGTTATAATAAATGACATAAACTATTTACTGTTTAGAAATGGATAAATTCGTAGTAAACAGGGTGTGAAACCAAACTTGCGTTTAAAGCAATTAACATGACACGGTTTTGAGGTGAATAAGTGATTTGGGAACATCTTTTTTCCTACATTGCATGTAATAATATAACCGAGTTATAGGGAACTCCAATTTCATATTCCGTGGGTAGAGTTTATTAATTAAGCACTGAAATATTGATACAGCTTGATTGGGCTTTATGCAGTTAACCAAATTACTTTGAAATTCGTATTCGGGCCATGTTTTTTAAAATTGTTCTGCCTCATGAAGCGCTTATTAAAATATAACAAGCAGATTTTATTTACAACTTTCATACGCGACAGCACATCAAGGTAATCACTGTTACTCCTTATGTCAGTTGTAATAGATATTAGTTTGCAACAAATAAGTTGTTCAAGTTATTTTCAAACTTTTTGTGATGTAAGAAAGAAGTAA